TTTTTCCCATTTTTCGACGCTGCGGTTTATATAACGGTGCGGCTAATCTATGGATTTTTACAGCTAACGGCCACTAGGGGACCTCCTAAATCTATGGGTTTTACAGGTTACAGTCCACCACCTTTAACTCTATGGGCTCTATGGCCGGTCCGCACCCCCACCTTTAAGCGGCGGGCTCCAGCAGGAAAAGCTGGAGTCCGGAAAAGAGTGAGACAGGTAGCGCGCAAAAGTAAAAGTGGAACCGAGAGTGGTACGAGAGACAGAACGAGAGCAAGACAGACAGACATTAGGAGAGCGAGACAGTTTGTCCCCGTACCACTGGTTGAAAACCACTGCTGTAGATCACTGCCGGTACGTGCGCTGGGAGCGCACCGTTTAAGTTTGAAAGTTGAAAAGTTTGTGTGTCTGAAACGCTATGTGATACAGTACAGTTTACACAGCACAGTACATGTTCTGTAGCTACTATTGCACTAAATGCTAACACTTGAATACGTTATGCAAATATGCAACTTGTTTGTTGAAATGTTAATAAATGGGAGCTTCCTCAAACAGCCATCTCTTTCCCGACAATCCCCTCTGTGCACGAACCCTTACATATGGTAATTAAACATTAAAACACCTGCGGCTTATAGTCCAGTGCGGCTTATATATGTACACATCATTCAATTTAGCTGCTGCGGCTTATATTCAGGTGCGCCTTATAGTCCGAAAATTACGGTAAGTCAGTTTTTCCATCAAAAAGATTTCTTCCATGTTGATTTTTCGTTGGTGGTGCTTCCTTACCCCAATTCCTAGTGATAGCTTTGGATATTAGCAGAATTCTGATCAAATATCTCTCACTTGCAATCCTTTCCTCAGTGAATTTACATAAATAGAGTTCCAAAATGTTTTTATATGTGTGTTTTGAATCTTTGTTTTATTTGATGTATGCACCAAGTACAATATCTCGTATGTGTTAACCTACCTGGTTATAAACCTGACTCTGACTCTGTAGCTCTAAACAAAAACATGTTTGAACATTTGTGAGCACAGAGTCACCGTCAAGCTATCATTAGTTTCATCTTTGGAATCACGAGTCCCCTTTCCTCTTGCAGTGTTTGCCTCTGTTGTTACTGTGATGAACTAAATATGGCCGCTGATAATCTAAGGTCTAAGATGTAGCTCTCCAACCACAGCCCTCTCTTCTTCTCCTCCAGGCTGCCAACCCGTTCTTCAAGCTGCTGACGATGCTGATGGAGTTTGCAGGCGGACCCCCGGGGATGCCCTCCTTCGCCTCCTACATCCTGCAGAGGATCTGGGAGGTAAACACATTTACTGTTAAACTTCCAAACATTTCTCAAGTTTTAAATCTCCTTTTTAAAGCCGTCACATATTTAGAATCAAGCGATTGGCTTTGGTTAAACTTCACAAGGATTCTTTTCAGTTTATTGTATTTATCAGGGAAAGCCGTTTTAGTGTTTTGAATTGATTTGATTAATTCACTATACATTGGATAAATAAATATAAATATGTTTCTTTTTACGAAGAAGCTCAAAATGGTAAAAAAGAAGACACTGGTTTGATCACTAAAAATGGCACAGATGATTACCTTAACTCTTATTCACAACTCCTCCCAGTCTGATTGATCCAGATGGGTGCTCACTACTTTCCAAACACTTACTATTCACAACTTGTCCGAATAGTTTATCTATGTTTGCCAAAATGCATATGTACACACCTGGTAACATTGAAGTTTGCTTAACCCTTAGATGCCCTTAGAGTGACTGGACCCTACACTCTGCCATAAGTGGAACCCGTATTAGAATAATATGTGTTTTTGTCATTTGGTTAAGAAATCACTTGTATAAATTTTAGTATTATATTTTGGTTCACACTAGAAATATTTTATATTTAATTTCTCACTATTTATAATTTTAGAAATGTTCCCCAGAGGATCCCATAGGAAATGCATGCGGGTCATTTTTGACCCACTTATGGAAGCTTGGGGTAGTAATACAAAAACTACAATTTCTTAAAATGTACATTTAAATTGTGAATGGCATGACATCCAAAACATGTTTTTTGAGGAATAGCTGGAATTTGAAATGATAAAAGAAGAAAACCACCTCACCAGGTCAAATGCATCTAAGGCTTAAGTCCAGAGTGCATAAAAAGCTGGTTTCAATTCAGAGCAATCTGATCTAACTTTAGAGTATTCACCTCACCTCATGTTGATTTAAACTAAACATCTCTTCATAGGTCAGGTTAATGGCAGTCCAACACTGATGAGCTGTGGTGTCTTTTATTGTGTGTCTTCATGTGTGTTTGTTTCCTCCAGGTGATCGAGTACAACCCGTCCCAGTGTCTGGACTGGTTGGCGGTTCAGACGCCGAGGAACAAGCTGGCTCACAGCTGGGTTCTGCAGAACATGGAGAACTGGGTGGAGCGCTTCCTGCTGGCGCACAACTACCCCCGAGTCCGCACATGTGAGAAACTCAGCTCTCCGATAATACTGCAGCTGTTTAACCTGACATTAAGGTGTTACCATTCAGTGGTACACATAACCTAAAGGGTCTCAGGGTAGGGGGGGTATGATATTTGATAACAACTTCTTATGTTAACATAAATAATTGTATCTTTTTATTGCATGTTTCTATTTTTTCTTATGATCGTATACATATTTTTATGTTTTTTGCTTAATTTATAATGTTGTGTTTTCATTTATTTTTTACTGCACATATTTTATTTGACCTTTTTCTTACATATTTCTCCGTAACTTCTTATGTTTAGATGAATAATTTAATTCTTTATTACACAATTTTACCTAACATTTGATTTTATAAAAATGTACCTTTATTTTATTTGTATTTATCTATTTACTACACATTTGATCTTCCTCCTTAAGTTATATAATTGTTTGTATTTCATTTGATCTTTCTCTCACATTTTGAATATCATTTATTTTTGTGGTCCTTTTTCACTAAACATTTTTACTTAGCTTCTAATGTTTATACTCATATTTTATCTTTTAATTGCACATATCTATTTAACTTTTGAAATGAAGCATCTGTCTCCAGACCATGTTTCCACTGGTATAATTGAAGTATTGTAATGATGTGTTCTGACCATGTCTCTATTAGAATATGAAAGGCTTCCCGTATCACATATTAAAGTTCCCTGCCTCTCCCTCCAGCGGCGGCGTACCTCCTGGTCTCCCTGATCCCCAGCAACTCTTTCCGTCAGATGTTCCGCTCCACGCGCTCTCTGCACCTACCGACCCGCGAGCTGCCGCTGTCGCCCGACACCACGGTGGTTCTGCACCAGGTCTACAACCTGCTGCTGGGGCTGCTGGGCCGCGCCAAGCTGTACGTGGACGCCAGCGTGCACGGCACCACCAAGCTGGTGCAGTACTTCAGCTTCATGACGTACTGCCTCATCTCCAAGACGGAGAAACTCATGTTCTCCGGGTACTTCATGGACCTCTGGAACCTCTTCCAGGTACACACAGATATTATTCTTTATCAAATATTTTATTTATTTAAGCAGAAGCACAGAAAAACATGGTGCAAAACACATACATACCACGTGAAAGAACATACAAACAGTTCCCTTACAAAACAAACAAAAATAAACCCCCCCCCCTCCCAGGACCCCCGTGGGCCGGATCAAGTGGCGTCAAATTACGTATTCACACATAAAAAAGGGAGAGAAAAAGGAATCTGAGCCGACTTTTCAACGACTCAGCCGCTGAACCAAGATTTATTCTTAATATTGTCTCAAAGAGTAATGTTTCCTCTATCCTGTACTGATACATTACATTATTTATCTATTTAATAAACATTTTTACTTGATTTCTTATGTTTATATATATTTTATTTATTTTATTGCACATTTGTTCCTCTATTTTCTTATGTTTATATACATTTATTTGTATTTTATAATTGTATGTCTAACACATTTAGCCAACTTGTTATTAATATACAACTTTTTAAATGCATATATTTACTTATGTTTGTATAATTATTTTAATTGTATTGGTCTTTTCTTTCACTTTACTTTTCATATAAATACAAATATTTGTATTTAATTACATTTACTTTTTTGCACATCATCTAGCATTGTATGTTTATATGAATATATATATTTGTTTTTATTGCACATTACTGACTTACCTTATTTTTCATATATATTTAGTATTTAATTTTTGCACATTTTTTCTTAACCCTATGTTTTTTTAATTCTGAAATGGAGCAGCTGTCATGAAAACCCTTTCCCTCTGCCAGTCAAAAGGAATCCTCTGCTCCTGCTAGTTGCACTTCTTCCCTAAACATGAGTTTCTGGTCTGCAGCTTCACTCACATTATGTTTCTCTTCTCCGCCTCCAGCCCAAACTCTCGGAGCCGGCCATCGCCACGAACCACAACAAGCAGGCTCTGCTCTCGTTCTGGTACAACATGTGCGTGGACTGTCCGGAGAACGTGCGTCTGGTGGTGCAGAACCCCGTGGTGACCAAGAACATCGCCTTCAACTACATCCTGGCCGACCACGACGACCAGGAGGTGGTGCTGTTCAACCGCGGCATGCTGCCCGCCTACTACGGCATCCTGAGGATGTGCTGCGAGCAGTCGCCAGCGTTCACCCGCCAGCTGGCATCGCACCAGAACATCCAGTGGGCCTTCAAGAACCTCACGCCACACGCCAGCCAGTACCCCGGCGTGAGTACAGAGCATCCATCCATCAATCAATCAATCAATCAATCAATCAATCAACAACTTTATTAATCCTGCAAGGGGCAATTAGTTATGAGCTGTTAGTTACTCTGGTAAAAGTAGAAGTACGGACTAAACTTCTTTACTCAAGTCAAAGTAAAGAGGCTTTGAAATGTACTTCAGTAAAAAGTACCCATAACTACCAGCTTTTTTAAAGAGTACCTGAGCTCCCTTTATATTAATAGAACAATAATGTCATTGTTAGCTAATGAATGTTTCCATGGTGACCAACGGCAACATGACAACGTTTTCATTGGTCCCTCTTCTTTAGAGAAGACCAGGAAATGATGGATACACGGATCGTGTTCAAATCAATAGGCACGCAATGACTCTAAATAATAATGATCACGCCACCAAACACACATTCAGACTAAAGGAACCAGCCTGTTTGGAAAATGAGAGAAGTAGAAAGTACAGGTATTTGTGTTCAACATGTAAGAAGTAGAAAGTACAGGTATTTGGGTTCAACATGTAAGAAGTAGAAAGTACAGGTATTTGTGTTCAACATGTAAGAAGTAGAAAGTACAGGTATTTGTGTTCAACATGTAAGAAGTAGAAAGTACAGGTATTTGGGTTCAACATGTAAGAAGTAGAAAGTACAGGTATTTGTGTTCAACATGTAAGAAGTAGAAAGTACAGGTATTTGGGTTCAACATGTAAGAAGTAGAAAGTTCTGGTATTTGGGTTCAACATGTAAGAAGTAGAAAGTACAAGTATTTGAGTTCAAAATGTAAGAAGTAGAAAGTACAGGTATTTGGGTTCGAAATGTAAGAAGTAGAAAGTACAGGTATTTGGGTTCAACATGTAAGAAGTAGAAAGTACAGGTATTTGTGTTCAACATGTAAGAAGTAGAAAGTACAGGTATTTGTGTTCAACATGTAAGAAGTCAAAGGAAAAAGTCGTCAGAAAAATAAGTAGTGGAGTAAAGTACTGATACCAGAAACATGTACTTAAGTACAGTAACAAAGTATTTGTTCTCCACTACTTCCAACCTCTTCCTAATCCTGAGGTCAAAGCAACAGGAAGCTCCGCTCCAACTCCCAAACACCAAAATAAGGAGTTTATTCCGGCGATATACAAATCCTACGCCGGAAATTTCCCCGTGGCCTGGCGCACGTACAGAGGGATCAAAAATAATAACTTTATTTACGTACGCAGGATGCAGAAAATGAAGGGCATGAATGGGATGTCTTTGCTGCCTTGCCAAGTGTCAATAACAACGAGAGGAAAGCTGTGTTTACAGCTCTAATAAAGACGCTTTGTACACGCTGATAAAACACAACGATGCCGCCACAGACGTCAAAATAAGAAAGATTGAATGTGAATCATGGATTTATGCATAAATGGGGCTTATAAAAACACACGCAAATTACCTCTAATCCTTCCAGGCTCCTCTTATTCCCCAGCCAACGTCTTACTCACCGTTTCCTGAGAGCCTGCACCACTTGTTTGTTTGGCTTATTGCATCCAAAGGAAAACTGATTAACGTGATGCTTTCAAGGTCCTGCTGCGTATTCGCCCACCTGCACTATAAAAACTCAAAATCTTGCAAAGTATATTCGTCTAATTTCTAGTCAGACTATGTCGTTACACTTGATATAAGACCTAATAACTGAAGAGGTAGCAATGCTGTGAGATGGAGGGTCTTGTTTTTAGACAATGCATCTTCAAGACTCTTGAAAACATCTTATTTTGGATCTCAAAAGTTTTTTAAGCTGCTGTGATTTTTGTAAAAGATGGTTAATCTTGTTGTAACAAATAAAATGTACTTGATTTAAAACAAAAAATAATTTACTGATCCTGGTAAGGTATAGTTCAAGATAAGTTTATCAAAAGATCTCCTTTACCTAAATATCCCGTGTTATTTCAATAAATCTAACGAAGCAAATGTCCACTTGTTCTACTGGCAGAACGTTGTACTTATTACAAGCGAAAACACCTTGTTTTCATTATTCTTTTACTTGATTTTGGAGCAGCATTTTTGTCCAGTGTGGGTGTCTGTCACGATTCTTGTGACGTTCTTAGTTTTGTGTGTCTGGTAGTGGGTGTTTTGCTTTTCTCCTTGTCATCTTTTCCTCCCTGTGTATTGTCTGGTCTTTTCCTGTGTTTTCCTGCCTGTCGTTAGTTTTGAGAACGGTCTAGCTGCGGCCGCGGACGAGAAGCCCCACACTGCAGTGCTCAGTGCCTCATGTGGGCGGGAGCTCAACGTGGGCGGAGCTTCACAGATGACGCGTTGCATCCTGTTTCCCGGGTAGCAGTTCTCCTCCCTCCCTTCAATCTAACCCTTCCCTTCCCCCCATCCTAACCCTACCCACTCCCTACCTTTTTACCTAATCCTAATCTTCCTCCCGCCCTCCCAAACCTAAACCCCAAAACCTCTCCTCCTGTCGTGTAGTGTCGTCAATTCGCTTTTAACGGTAGTGCCTCTCAGCCACCGTAGTGTCGTGTCAGGTGGGCGTGTAGTGTAGTGTAGTGTAGTTTCATGTAGTGTCCGCGGCCGCAGCTAGACCTTATTGTTAGTTTTCCCTGGGGTGTCCAATTTCCTGATTGTTTTCACCTGTCACCCCTTCTGTGTCTCCTGTGCTCATCAGTGTCAGCCCCGCCCCTGATTGTTCCCACCTGTGTCTTGTTACCCTGTGTTTAAATTCCCCTGTCTCCCAGTGTTCAGTGTCAGTTCGTTTTTGTCTATTGCCATGGTCAGTGCTTGGCTCTTGTCTCTTGCCACAGTCAGGTCTATGCTCTTTTGAGTTCTTGATAGTTTGATCCTCACTACGTGAGTGTTTTCATTTTGTTCTCCATTTTTTTTCATCTCAGCTAGAGATTGATAGAGACCATTTTTTGTTGTTCATTTTTGCTGTTCATGAAAAAATAAAGTATCTTACAAATACTTTACCTCTGTCTCCCGGGTCGTGCAATTGGGTCCTACCTCCTAAGTGTCTGAGTTCTTAACAGTGTCTTTATACCACTTAGAAGTTGGACATACAGTACAGGTGCCTTGCTCATGGGCAATTACGTAGAGTAGCTGTAGTGAAAGAGAATTACGATTTAAAGAGACAGTGTGAAGGATTTGGCGAAATCTAGCTTTTTTTGGTTGCAGATCCAACCACTACTCAGTTCTCCAATTACAAAAGCCTCCGGGTTCAAAACCATACACAAGTTGTGGTACCTTTAAGGACCTTTATCAAGCTCCAATACCATCCTTACAATAACAATACCTTAGGATCAATTAAACTCTAAAGCCAGAGTGTGTCTGTCCATTCTTAACTACGGTAGAAAAAAGGGCGACGTAACAAAACAGGACCATTGTCACTTTCAGGTGATTAAACATCAATAAAAACATGGTTATGAAGATTTAATGTCATGGTTGTTGAAGGCTTGATTCTGATTGGTCGATTTGGACATTCTAGAGGTCTGCTATCGTTCGCTATCAGACCGTTGCAGTGCAGTCATATCAATTTGCAGAAAGAAGTCCGGTCAATTGACCATTTTATTGGTTTTCTCCATCAGAAAACACAGTGGAATACTTTATGAATGTTCATTTTTGTATTAGTTGAAAGCCTGAAACTTGTATTCATGATGGGTATCAACAAGAACACGGTATCGGCTCTGGCTGTGTTTTAAATTAAAGAAGAAGAAGCAAAATAAACCCTTGCTGCCTTCAATTAAAATTAAAATTACTGCAATTCTGTCGCCACAGATCCAGCGGTTTGTACGCAGTGGAACGGACTATTTATACTAAGCTGAAGCAATAAGATCATTTCTAAATCAGAACACTTTGGCGTTGGTTTATTTAATATGTAGCTGTGTAATAAGTGGGATAATGTGCTTCGAGGCAGTCATTAACGAAAAAAGAAACCAGAGATTGTAAGAAACATTATCACATTTTCCTTACAAATTACAACTACATTTCCCTAAATCCTAACTGGCCCTTTAAAGCAGCACCTCCACACTCTCATGCTAGCATCAAATCAACCAAATGACCTCACTACAATCAGCAGACAACAGGAGAGAAGGCGCTAAAGATCTGAAACATTGAGTCATTGTTTGCTCATCCCCCGATCTGCCAAGCCACTTCTTCGTCTCGGGGGAAATCCTGAGCAGAAAATGACATAATTGCATGGAAGGAAAAAAGTTTGGATGTCAGTCAGCGCTGATCTGTCAGAAAGAGAAACGGAGGGGCCAAAGAGGGAATAAAAGAAGGGGAGGTCAGAGGAAAAATGACAGCTCCAAAACAGCCAGGAGACGAGTTTGTCAACATCATTTTGAGAAAGATAAAAGCAGACAGACAGGAAGAAAGGACCGAGAGATGTTTGTAGACCAAACAAAAGCTGTCAGCCGGGGAGAAATGCTCAAATATCTTCTAATATTCTGCTTTATAGAGCCAGGAAGGCCACATCTAAATCATCAACTATCCACTGGAAAAAATACTGCTCCAAAAACAAGTCAATATATAATAAAAACAAGAGGCGCTTTCACACCGCAGTACTTTTCCCACAAAGGTCCATGAGACCTTAGTTCATCAGAGCTCTTTAGTTCTGATGAACTGAGTACACATCGCGTTCACACCGGAATAAGTTCCTGGGGGTGGATTAGGCAAATGAAGCCGCTGACGTCACTTCTTCTTCTTCTGCTTTGGGTTTACTGGCAGGCCGCAAACAACTTCACGGCGTATACTGCCGCCCAAAATCCCCGGTCGGAAGTCCCCGGAGTTGGGGACTGGCTTCAGCTGGGACTCCCAGCAGCTTCTACTGAAGCCTTCAGAGTAAATCGCCAGAACGCCGACACCTCCTCATCTCCACCGCTCCCATGTTTTATTTTGTGTTGCCATAAATTAGTCTCTCTGCGTTTCTGCACTGGGCTAATGCTAATAATGCTAATACGAGGATAATAAAATGGTGGCTTCACAACACTTTTTTTGAGTTTTACGGGGCGTGGTTTGCAATCCG